CGCGGCCGCGGAGGTATTCCCGCGGCCGCGGAGAAAGTTGGCTGCACTGCGCGGCTTCACGGTTTTGCTTCGTTTGAGCTCGTCCGAACTCGGAATTGAGTTCCATTTTTTTTTTACGCGTAGCTAACGAACCCCTCTATCTAATGATGTAAGCTTCCCCAAAAATTTCCCAGAAACCTGTTCTCCCGAAGCTCCCGACCTACACACCAAAAACGAAAACACAAACGGAAGACTACCGGAAAAAACATAAAAATTATCGGGGCACTCAAGACAACACAAAACACACAATAAACGACAAAATGAACCTAAAACCAATTAAATGGCTCAAAATAGGGGAAAAAGAATGAGAAAATAATAACGAAAAATGCAACAAAAATGGGACAAACAACTCCCCCACACTAAGAACTTTGTTCGTCCCGAACAAAGAAAAGAAAAGAAACGAAAACAAGAAAACGAGTATGGATAACGGTTTCAGATAAGACAAGTCTCAAATTAATCAACTTAGCCGAGGAGAATTCCAATGATCAATCATGCATACCTCAACTACACTTGAATACAACATTTTTAAAAGACAACTCTCGAGCACGGAAATATATATAAATGTGCCTCACTCAGTTTCTTTCGTAAATATAGAACTGGGACTCTCACATTGGTCGATCATCATGCATCAACATAAGCTTGCTCATTGTCTATTCATACTCTAAAGCAATCGAAATAATGAATTGTAAATCAAAAGGACTTACGGGTTGCAGTGTGGGCATCAAGGAATGAAAAATATAAGGATAGAATGACAATCACATTTTCGAGCATATAAACTACTCGAATATCCCACCCCATATCCAAAATCAGCATAACATCAATCATTCCCATCAAAACTCCATGCAACATTCATAAATGCTCAACTGAATTGCACCTCAAGTACTCAAATTTTTTTCTCTTTTTTTTTTTATTTTTTCTCTTTTCTTTTTTTCTTTAAGGTGGGTTTGCTTTTTCCTAACAAAACCGAGACGTAAGGACAACATTCTCTAGGTTTAACCATTGGAGGTCATCCAAGTTTCCTAGAGTGGTTTCCCAATACTCATTACTCGTGAAAAATCCTACGAGTAAGCGGAGTAAAATCTTTTCCGTCCGTCTTGCGAGTCCCCATTTTTTTTTTTAAGTACTCAAAATGCAACTCCAACAAATTATACACCTTCTCCAAACACATATTAGAAGCTCCGTCATCATAAGAAA